TTATCTTTCATTTAGAAAGTAAAATCTTTTAAGTAGCCGAATAAGATGTTTTCTGACTTCAAAAATTTAAATAAATTCCAGAAAACCAGAAAAGAAATAATTTCAACAATACCACTGTCATAAATTCAAAGCTCAATAAGACAACTAACAGGAAAGTGCCCCCTTGGCCACTGTTATGGATGCAATTCATCACTGTCTGTGTCCTTCAAGTCTTTTGAGACAAAGACCTAATATTTTGCCTTAAAACAATGCAGAATGCATTTTTAGTTTTCCTTTTGTTTACTTTTTCATTCTTTCCTGATTTATTTCTTTAAAAAGAAAACACATACCTACAAATTATGAGCACCTCTAGGATTCAACAGAAAACCATGGGCTAATAAGCATTCTATGTTGAGGATAGAATCATCAGTCATACCTCATCTCACCCACTATTTACATATTATCTATAGCTATTTCTTCCTCAATATTGAGAGAGAACAAGAGAGAACATTAGATCCCAAACCAACATCTATCAGAAGTTAAACTGCAATATTATCTCCATTACAGAAGAATATAAACTTTAAATGGGTACGGGGGTGGGGGGGCAGTGAGGGGCGGCAGAGGGGAGGTTACTGGTGGTGGTGGTGTAGGAAACGCATCATTATGCTCTCTCTCTTAAAGGTTTATTTTGAATGAATTACAGAAAACTCCTATATTGCAAAGACTGGGCTTAATTATCTATTAGTATAATAAAATTGTGAATTTGCTAGAATGCAAATTATATATATATATATATTAGATGAAAAAAATCTTTCTCATATAACCTAAATTGAATTTGTATTCATAGACCTTTTAGATAAATATTAAGAGGAACATTTAAAATTTTAAGGAAGTCTTCAAGAAGAGGCTGCTATGTTTGCAGGAAATTTCATTCTTGAAGTAGATGGATTCTATTAACACTATTTTCTTAAATTAGTATTATTTTGTTTTAAATTTTCTTAGTTATTTCTAAAATATGTTTAATCCAGCAATTAAAATTGAAGTAAAAAGGACTTGAAATACTCAAAATATAGATGTAAATTTTACAATTAAATATAATCATTATAACATGAGAAAAATGAATTCAATTAGAGATTAATTTGAAGATTTGAAGTTTTTCTCTTTTCTAATGGAAAGGAGATAATGAAGCCAATTACTAAAGAGACCAATTTATCGTTTCATGTTAATTAAAATGTAATAAAGAGGCAACGTTTTATTGACAATGTTATTTGCAACTGGATTGATTAAACTTTTTTGCTTTAAAACATGTTTATATTGAGTTAATTTGAGTAGTGTTAAGGAAAGGGAGGTACTAGGATTCTGTGCTGGGTTAGGGGCTCAATACCTGGTGAACCCTTAACTATTCTACAGTCTAGTGATTTGCAAAAGAGTGGTCCCTGGACTAGCAGCATTCCCATAACCTGGAAACTTATTAGAAATGCATATTTTTAGGTACTACCGAGATTTACTAGAATCTATAATCTGTGTTCAACAAGCCCTCCTGGAGATTCTGAGGCCCTCAAGTGTGAGAACCAATGCTCCAGTAGGTAAATCCATGTCCGTCATCTTCTTACCTAACCATGTCACTGCACACATGTTTTCTCTGGTTTCTTTAACTATAACAGGTTAATAATTAAGAAGCTGGAGTCCAGAAGCTACAAAATTTTAAAACAGGGGCTGGAAAGGGAGGACGAGGTAGTTAATCTCTGCCAGTAGTGAGCCACAGTAATGGACTGAGGACCCAGAGCCTACTCCCAAAAGATGATGGTCCCATTTACAGTCAACAAGAAAAAAATTCTCATTGTCTGTGACTTAAACTCCAAGCCAAGAAAACTGTCCAAAAAATGAGTTGCATCAGGGAAAGGATAGAAGAATTTCTAAAGAAAAAATAAAAGCAAGCAAATGCATATACACCTACACCCATCCCACACCCCAGTGAAGTCAGAGGAAAAGAGAAGAGGCAGCAGCACCTAGGATTGTATATACCCAGAAGGAATTCAAAACAGCTCCACCTAAGTAGGACAGTCCTACAAACTTACAAGCACTCACAAGCATCTTGAGGCTGTAATAACATGCCAGCTACAAGAGCTCTAGTCATCAAAAACACTCAGCAAAAGGTCAAATAAAGTGCATTTCATTCTAATGTCAAGCAGTATCACACATAAAGCTATGCACACCAGAGTGCAGTGCACACGTATGTGGGAGTAACCCTCCTCCCAACTGTTACACGTGAAAGTCAAACAGAATACTGTATTGCTGCCCATACAACTGTGAGGATCTGCTCAAATGAAGGTGTTCCCTTCTCCAGAGTTAAATGTCAACTACTTTAAATCCCAGGGCTATGCCCCAGCCGGTTTGGTTCAGTGGCTAGAGCACTGGCCTGCAGACTGAAGGGCCCCAGATTCGATTCCAGTCAAGGGCACATGCCTGGGTTGTGGGCTTGATCTCCTGGGTGGAGCGTGCAGGAGGCAGCCAGTCAATGAGTCTCTCTCATCACTGATGCTTCCACCTCTCTCTCCCTCTCCCTTCCACTCTGAAATCAATAAAAATATATTTAAAAGTCAATCAATTAATCGATCCCAGAGCTAGTTATCCTTCCGGCTCTTATCAGCTTTCTAGTTCTGAGGCTGGCAAAAGGCTTTACATAACCTTGTTTACAAGGTATAGGATCTTTTTGAAAAATGTTTATTGATTTGAGAGAGAGAAGAAGGGAAAGGGAGAGAGAGATAGAAAAATTAATGCATCAATATCGATCAGCTGCCTCCTGCACGCCCCATGCTGGGTTTCTAGCCCACAACATGAGCATGTGCCCTGACTGGGAATCAAACTGATGACCTCTTGGTGCCTGGGTCAACACTCAACCACTGACCACACTGGCTGGACTAGGTATATGGTCTTAAAACACAAAACAAAACAAACTTTCTCTTTCACTTTACACTCACAAGAAGACTGAAGTTTTTAAAATAACTTTTAAGAAGGCAAGGAAACCCAATAGTAGCATATGAAATGAAAGCACTTACTGAACAGAGGCACCTGAAAAGCTAGGCTCTCATCCATGCTAGTCACAAATCCTGTCATAAGGCATCTGCTAACAAAGGTCTCTGATTTCACAGGGCTTCTCAAACATCCCATATATACTATAAAATACATAATGGAATTCACACACTATTAACTGTGTTTATATTTAGAGAATCACTGTGAGGTACTTTATATGTAATAATAAATTCAGAAATGAAAAAAGTAGAATAATCTAATTCAGAAAACACATCTCTCAACTGACCAAACCAAAGCTTTACAGTTCCAATATTTGAGTTCTTGACAAAAGAAGGCAGAATAAACAAAGTTACCAAGTAACCAGTGATTTTTAGAGGCCCCAGTAAGTAGGTCTAAGTCCACAACAATAAAGGAGCAGGGAAAAATAGGGAGAGGTTCAAAATCTCAAAAAAGAGGGCTCACTCTACCGCCAATATAGACCACTCCATTTCTCAACGGCTCATCCAAGGTAAAGGCACCTTGCAGCTGTTTGCAATGGCTCACATTTGAAAGTAGGCAATAATAGTGTGAAAAGAAAGATGAATCTCACTGACTATGTTAAGGAAGCTGATGCTGACACTCATCAGATTTCCTTTGATAAAAGCCACTTTGGCTCAGTCACTGTGATCTTAATACTATCTCAGAGCACTGTGGACCACTGTTCACTTTTAAAGAGCTCCTAGTTAGCATGACAATAGTGCAGTGAAGGCCTGGGGGGAGGAGGGCTGGGTGAAGGGGTTACAGGGGGGTGACAGTATCTGTAATACTGTCAACAACAAATAAATAAAGGGCTCCTAGTCAGAATATTCCTGGAACACAGGCTGCAGACTTTATCAAATGATAAAAAGAAAACTGAGGTACATGAAATGAAATTAGAGTAAGAAACAGGAATGGACAAGAGCTGATATTTGGAGTTTTGTTAGCCATGTAGATTCTAATAACCTATACTGAACAATTTCTACATAAACCCAATTATTTCATTCTATAGTGAGGTAACCTCAACTAATTTTTGAAAAATTACTTATATAAAATTTCAATGTTTCCTGGAGATCATCTAGCCAATACTGGACTTATCTTAAGCCATCTGATAGCTGGTAAAATAGAAAAAAACTACAGTGCCAAAAATACCACTGCCCAGCCCAAAAGTCAGCATTTCTTTTAGAATGACAATGCAGTGTTGATTTGTACCAAATTAAACAAACCCTTGTTTAAGTATATTAAAATTTTTGCTTTTATGGAAGAAGTTTCACTTATCTACTACTGAGAGACATTCTAATAGGTTTTTTAACACAGTTACAAAATGTTTTAGAGTTATTTAAGGGGAACCTTAAGCACAACACCAGTATCACAGATGATATATAATATGTTTCCAATTTAACTATTTCCTAGAATTGGAAAGAAGCATCAATTACTAGACTACACAAAAGAACTCCATAGCACCACTCATGGATATTTCGCCATCAAACTGCACATAACCTTTGGTATTCAAAACAGAAGTAGGCCCAGCCCACAAAGAACCCAAGGAATGTGACCTTTCACTTAGACCCATTTCAGGAAGCATACATCTGAGTTTAAAAGCTGTAACCTGATGTGAACTCTTCACATACAACTAATTCAATGAAATTTAAAAACCGGTACAGTCAGTAACATTGAAAGATTAGCATTATGAATGAGAATAATAAATATCTTTATTGATTTCAGAGAGGAAGGGAGAGGGAGAGAGAGAAATATCAATGATGAGAGAGAATCATTGATCGGCTGCCTCCTGCACTCCCCCTACTGGGGATCGAGCCCACAACCTGGGCATGTGCCCTTGGCTGGAATCGATCCCGGGACCCTTCAGTCCACAGGCCGACGCTCTATTCACTGAGCCAAACCGGCTAGGGCTCTGTTATTTTTTAATAGATGAGGGAAACAAAAGGAAAAGAGAACCCATTATGTGCACTTACGTTTTGGCTGTGACATCCACATACTGTCCTGGGCGAAAGTGAGCAGCATAAAGAGGAGTGCCTTTATGAAAAGACAAAAAATCAACATGAAGTCTGTCTGCTCAGAAATAACTTCACTAAACATAAACTACATCCAGGAAGCCTTGTAGATAACATATTTCAAAAATGGCAGGAGATTCTCTTCTGCAATTATAATTATTGCAGAAACACCAATTATAAGATAATAAAACTATTCAACACTGACTACATGGGATGCGGTGCTACAGCGAGCCAATAGACAACACTGGCTGACAGTGTGCCTTCCTGAAGTGGGCAATTCCTGTACAACACAGTGTTTCCTGCTGGCAAATACAGGAATGATTCTTGGTCATTTTGGTAACAATATACTAAATTAAGGTATATTATCTATTTCACAGAAAAAAATATACAAAGAGAATGATAAAAAATGTTGGGGCTAGACCAAATCATTTTTTACACACTAGAGATAAATGATCCAAAATAGAAACTTGAATTATTTGAACACAGATCCATTGGTCTCTGGGTAATATTTATGGTATGTATGTATAACATCCCTATAAAGCCCATATATATCAGATTCTCAGTAGACTGGTCATTATTCCAATAAAACAGATATTCTTGCATATGCCAGCTATCAGGAATAGCAAAAAACCACTATTAAAGATAATACTAATTTTATATACTCATATTTCCAAAACTAGTTGTATTTAAATAAAATCTTACTTTAAAAGCACTTGGGAAATGTGTTATTTTATGGAATCTTGTAGCTCCAAGCCCTTCACAATATTTTATTTATATAAATTTGGAATTAACACTTTTATCTCCAAATATTTATAGGGCACTTACAATATGCAAAGTAAGAAATACAAAAGTATAAGACATGGCTCCTGACCTCAGGAATTTATTATCTAAGTAGGGACTGAGAGAGGTGGAGGAGCATATGGGGGGAGGTTAAATGGTTATGGATGGAGACTTGACTTGGGATGGTGAACACACGATACAGTGTACTGATGATGTGTTGTACAATTGTATACCTGATAACTGTATAATTTTGTTAACCAGTGTTACCCCAATAAATTAAATTTTATAAAGAATGTATTATCTAGGTGATGAATCAACATTACATCATCAAATAAGAGGACATGAAAAGATACTTCTCCAAAGAAGATAAACAGCTGGCCAACAGACATGAAAATATGCTCAACATTCGTACATCAAAGAAATGTATATCAAAACCATAGTAAGATACCACCTCACACCAGTCAGGATGCCTATTATTACCAAAGTCAACAAATAACAAGTGTTGGTGAGGATGTGGTGAAAAAGGAACCCTGTGCACTGTTGGTGGGACTGCAAATTGGTCGAGACACTATGGAAAACAGATGCAAAAAACTAAAAATAGATATGCCATACCACCCAGCAATTCCACTTCTGGATAGTTATCAAAAGAAAATAAAAACACAAATTCAAAAAGGTATATGCATCCCTATGTTCATTCCAGCATTATTTACAATAGCCAAGATATGAAAGCAGCCTAGGTGTCCATCAATAGATGAATAAAGGACACACACACACACACACACACACACACACACACACCTGGTATATATACACAATAGAATATTATCCAGCCATTTGCAACAACATGAATGAGTCTAGAGCAGGGGTGGGGAACATTTGGCCCGAATGCCATATAAGTCCTGTGAAATCATTTGGTCTGGCACTGCCAAGGCATTAGAGGTGAGTTAAATTTGACTAAATATAGCAGGCTAATTTTTAAGTGGATAATTCTGTATGGCCCATGAATGATGCTATAAATATCCAAATGGCCCTTGGCAGAAATAAGGTTCCCCATCCCTGGTCTAGAAGGTATTATGCCAAGTGAAGTAAGTCAGGCAGAGAAAGACAAATATTGTATGGTTTCGCTTACATGTGGAAGCTATAAAAGAAACAAATGAACAAATAAAACAAAAACAGACTCATAGAAACAGACCACAGGGATGACTATGAGAAAGAAGGGGGTGGAGAGCTGTGTGAAAAAGGTGAAAGGAAATATAGTCAATAACATTGTGGTAAGTTTGAACAGTAACAGATGATTACTAGAATTAGTGGGGTAATCACATTGTAAGGTATAAAAATATTGAATCACTATATTGTACACCTGAAACTAATATAGTATATAGGTAAATTAAAAAAAAATTTAGTTAAGTAATTTTAAAAAGCTGGAACCAATGTAGTAGAGAATGAATGTATGGGAAGATAATTTTTGTTTGCTTGTTTAAAACAGGGAGTAAAGTGCTGTAGGATTCCAGAGGGTAGTATCCTTTAAGGCAGTGCCTAGGCTGGATTTGGACAAGCAGGGAAAATCCTTGAATTAAGAAAAAATAGGGGAATTTGCAATAGCATGGATGGACCTAGAGGGTGCTATGTGAAATGAAATAAGTCAGACAGAGAAAGACAAATACCAAATGATTTCACTTATATGTGGAATCTAAAGAAAATAAACAAAATAGAAACAGACTCATAGTTGCAGAAAGCAGAATGATGGTTGCTAGAGGGAAGGGGGGTTGGGGGTCTAGGTGAAAAAGGTGAAGGGATTAGGAAGTACAAATTGGTGGTCACAAAACAGGCATGGGGATGTAAAATACATAGGGAATATAGTAAAAAATATTGTAACTATGTATGGTACCGGGGGGTACTTGAAATATTGGGGAATTCATGAATAGGGTAAAATACTTTGAAATTTTAAAGTAAGTATATGATTGTCTATAACCACTATGTTGTACACCTGAAACTAATATAAAATAATATTGAATGTAAACTATAATTGCAAAATAAAATTTAAAAAAAGAAAAAAGAAGGGAGATTAAAAATTACTGAATTTCTATGAGGTTAAGAGACCTGAACTGCCCAGATTTGACTATTTTTCATCCATAAAACCAACAATTCCACATGGTCTGAGCTACAGCAAAAGTTAATGTGGACTTAATTTTTGCACTTGTTAGCTTAATTCCATTTAATTGCAAACCTTGCACTTCAAAACATCTTTTAATTCTAATTTATATCAAGGCTGCCCTTCTGTCACTCCAATTAATATTGTCCATTGCAACTGTATTTTACTTCAAAAAATTCAGGTCACATATTAAAATAAAAAAATCTTAAAACATCCTTTTACTGTATGCTTGTTAGAACTCAAGTTCAAGAGATCAAAGAGCTCTTCTGAAGTTTAAAGACATCAAATTCTATTAATTACATGAACCAATATAATCATATTTTTTTAAAATATATATTTTATTGATTTTTTTAAAGAGAGGAAGGGAGAGGAATAGAGAGTTAGAAACATCGATGAGAGGGAAACATCGATCAGCTACCTCCTGCACACCCCCTACTGGGGATGTGCCCGCAACCAAGTACATGCCCTTGACTGGAATCGAACCTGGTACCCTTCAGTCTGCAGGCCGGCGCTCTATCCACTGAGCTAAACCGGTCAGGGCCAAATCTCACCTTTTGACATTCCATGAATAGGGTAAAATATTTTGAAATTTTAAAATAATATTCTGTACGTCAAAGTGTTATGGTACCAGGGGAGTACTTGAAATATTGGGGAATCCATGAATTGGTCACTGTCCAATTTCAAGCTAGGCTACATTTTTTTCAAAGTCTTCTACCTCAGCAAGTATAGCTATTCTCCACTTAATAAAATGCCAGCCTACAAACAGTAAGTTTCACATTTTAAGAGTGAATGCATTTATTGAGAATTTTCCAAATGTGAAACTCTCTGTACATTAAAAACAAAAGCATTCCTCCCTCTTTCATGGAAAACAAAGAGTTCTCTAAAGTTCTTTTCACTGAAAAGAAAAAAAAAAAAAAGATTTGTTTATCTCTAGTGATTAAATTAGATACATTTTTATATTTAAAAATAAGTGTTTGGGACTTTGTACTGTGGATTCAGCTTTATTAAAAAGGCTGACATTAAACAAATCACAGATTTGGGTATTTTTACTCCCCCTCCCCCAACTTCAGATTACCTGGCTTAATTACAGCATTATCTGTTACACGAAAGATTTTAATTTTCTGTTTTGGTGGCAATCCAAGTTCTTGGTAAAATTCCAATCTGGATGTAGATTTCTAGAGGAAAAGCAGCACACATAAGTAACACGGTAAATACTAAAGGTGGGGTTTAATGTAGACGTCAAAACCAAGTTATTAACACACCAGAAAACAAGCCAAAGAGCACTCTCGTTCCCCTAAAGAACAAAGGGCACCCTATCCCCTCACTGAGGGGAGGTGAGATTTTTCTTCTAAAATCCATTACACGTGGGATCCAACCATGTGCAGAGTGTAGCTCATATACAGTACATGGGGAAGAAAGACCTTTGTTCTGTAGGGAAAGAAACAGAGTTGTGTTCATATTTGAATTTTCACTGGAGACTCTATGTATCAAGAACTCCCATCCTGGGAAATTGGACTGTGTCTACTCTGTACCTGTTTCCAAGCAGCTACAAGAAAACATGGTAGGTCACATTCAACTGTATGACCACAAACTTCAAAGTCAATCCTAAATGTGGCCAGGCCAACCTTCATCCCCCCCCGCCCCCCCCAGTTATATCCTCACACTCTTCAGGGCAACTATGTCACATCTCCTTTTAAATCCTCCAGCACTGTTCCCTCTTCCTCTCACCTTTGAGCTGATCTTGCTTCTTGATTCACTGAAAAAATACAGAAGAATCAAGAGCACTTCCTCACACTTACTGCCTAGTCCATATGTGTCTACACCAGCCATTATATACTGTCCTTCTGCCACCTCACTCCAGGTTGCCCAAGATGCATGTGGGGAGCATTTACAAAATGCCGATGCCCAGGGCTTCAGCTTGGAGACTACAGCCTCAAGGGTCTAATGTGGATTCCAAGCATCAGAGTGTGTGAGTGTGTGTGTGTGTGTGTGTGTGTGTGTATCTATATCTATATCTATATATATATATATATTTTTTTTAAAGCACTCCACATGATTGTGATGTGAAAAGGCTGGGAATCACAATGACAGATGAACTGTCCATGCTCTTATTGAAAGCCATATCCTTCACTGTGTACTCACTCCTAACCTCTCCCATCTATTCAATAGCTTTACTCCTGAAACTGTCCCCATCGTCTTCTGAAACACTAATTTTCCCCTTGCTACTGAAATGTTCCTACTGGTATACAAAAATATTATAATAACTTATATGTTAAAACAAAACTTTTTCTTAGCCAGTCTCCTTTAGGGAATCATTCTGTTCCCCCTTACAACCATACCCCTGAAAGACTTGCTCAGTCTATTTTCTCTGACACTGACTTTAATCAGGTGCTTTCATCTCCTACTACTCAATGGAAAGTGTCAAGATCACCAATGTCTCCATGTGGTCAAATACACTGGTCAATACTCATTTTATTGGCTCCAGCAGTAATGCTTGACACAGGTGACCCTGTCACATCTCTCCTTGAAAGACTTTCACTCGACTTCCAGGCACTACTCTCTTGGTTCCTTCATATCCTACTGACCCTACATTTATAACTTCAATCTCAAATTCTACTCTGAACTACAAATTCCAATGTCTAACTGCCAACTCAATGTCTCACTTTGATGCCATATAGTAACATCAATTTTAACCGGCCTAAAATTGGACTTGATTCCCCCTTCCTCAACAAGTCTGCTTTCCTCTTGTCTTCCAAATCTCAATACTTCTGTTGTTGGACCAAACATCTCGTGGTCACTTTTGACTCTTTTCCTTCTCACATCCCATGTCAATAAATTACATCAGCAATTCCTGTAGACTTTATTTAAAAATATAGCCTACATCAACTACTTCTTACCCCCACTCCACCCAACCATCTTTTGCTTGGATTATTTCAATAGACACTTAAACTAGTCTCCAAAATTCCACACTCCTGACCCCTGGTCTGTTCTCCATTCACAGGCTGGCATGTTCCTTTCAAAACACAAGCTATTTCATGTTTCTGCAACGGCTTCCATCTCATGCAGAATCAAGTCCCAAGTCCTTACCATGGTTTACAAGGTTCTCTACAATCTGACTTCATCTACTGCTCTTCTCTTGGCTCACCCTGCGTCATTACTTACTAATCCAAGAACACATTAAACAATGGCCTCAGGTCCTTTTTGCACATACTGTTCCCCCTGCCTGGAATGCTTTTCTGCCAGATTTTTGCATGGCTTGTCCCCTCACTTCATTCAGGTCTCTATCCAAACATCAACTTACCTTCCCTATCTAAAATAGCACCACTTTCTGTCACTCACAACCCCTCCAGACTTTATTAGTCCTCAAAGCACTTCTCTCCATCTGTCATGATTTACAGGGTTTTGTTTTGTTTTGTTTTTTTATCTTCTATGCAACAGCCTCCCTATCTTACCCCCAATCCCATCAAAATGTAAGCTTCTTGAGAGCAGAGACTTTAGTTGCTATGTCTGCAGCTCCTGCTGGCTGCTTTCCCCTCCAACCCTGCCTTTGTTCTTCTGCTATTTTAAATATTCCTGAATAAATAACTTTATGGACATCTTACTTCCTTATCACAATGTCCTGGGTCTTTTTTAAATTAAAACTGTTGATATAGATTTCTGTAAGACTTCCCCAAAAAATTGTACCACTTTATATTCCTGATATAAAGAGTGCCTCTATCATGAGAATATAGCTAACACAGGTATATCCATCTTCCTGCTGTTTCTGTTCCCTCAACTTCCCCTCTAATTATAAATGAAGCACCAGCAGGCCCTCAATGGGCCACAATACTCTATGTATGCTTACCTGTGTCTGCCTATGCCGGTCTCTGGTCCTATAATTTCCTCCCCACCTTGTACCTCCAAATCTCATTAAAACCCTGTTACATATATGTTTAGTCCCAGCTGCGGGACATTTCCTGTCTGGATCCCTCCCTGGCAGCCTTGTCAGAGCAGACTGCTCTTTCATCTCTGCCATCTCTAGACCCTCCATTTATTTAACTTACATATCTGTCTGCCTGCTAGTCTGTGAGTCCCTGGATGGTAGGGGCTGTTTTATTCACTTTTGTGTGTAACTTTAGACAGTAGCTGTCTACTAGACACTGCAGAGTGAGTGAAATGAATGGTGAAAAGACTCAAAAGACATGCCCTAACCGGTTTGGCTCAGTGGATAGAGCGTTGGCCTGCGGACTGAAAGGTCCCAGGTTGGATTCCAGTCAAGGGCATGTACCTTGGTTGTGGGCACATCCCCAGTAGGGGGTGTGCAGGAGGCAGCTGATCGATGTTTCTTATCGATGTTTCTAATTCTCTATCCCTCTCCCTTCCTCTCTGTAAAAAATCAATAAAATATATTTTTAAAAAAAGACTCAGAAGATAGAGGACAAGCATCGGTCTAGGTGCGAAATCCTGATTTGTCTCTCCAAAACACCCTACCTTTCACTCTTCCTGCTGCTGCATTAATTCTTGGCAAACAACATTACTGTGTTTGTGGCCTGACAGTGTGTGGCTTCTATCTTCATTTCTAGTTATTAAAAACTTACAAGTCTAAAATAAACATCATGACTTACTCTGAGGATCTATAAGAAACTTAGCTACTTTAAAACCAAATCAACAGTAATTTGTAATAAAACAAACAAAAAACCAAACCAAGAATAGCAGCAATTGACAAACTCTATCCAGCAAGATGACACTGATGATGTACTAATTTCCCTCAAATGCTATGAAGCTATGCATAGCCAGACTTACCTGATTATGTAGCAAACTTCAGGTACATGCTATTTCAATTTAAAATGTGCACTGTTAGTACTCCTTTATAACTTATTGAGTGGGTTGACTTTCGTGGACATGAAATTGGGTGGCACTGGCCTGTAAGCATAGAACTTTAATTTTTGGATCAGTCCACACTCCTGGGAATCTCCCTGGGGCCCTCAGGTGGGACCATGCAATACATGCTGAACAGCTCTGCTTCAATGTCCACGAAAGGTTGTTTTGTGCCCCACAGTTTCCTTAAGAAGCCACCCTTTTCTCCAAAAGAGTGATAACATAAACTCATCCAGGCATTCTTTATGCTTTCACTTCCCACTCACGGAAACCTAAGAGTAATATGCGGCACCACTGTTCCCAAGGCCTGGCTTTTCATCTTAATCACATTCACTTGTTCCATAACAAAAGCAAACACAAGGGCTTTCATTTAAAAATGTGGCTCCTTGAAATTATTTTCCTGATGAATCAGATTCAGATATATCAAATTTTAAAACGGACTTTAGTTTTATTTTTAATGTTCACATATTCCACCTGGCAGTTTAGAAAGCATACTATTTTATCAATATCAGTTTTTAAGTATGCCAGGTGGCTTCTGAGAAAAATTCTGTCCTTTTTCCAGTAATACAGAATAGACAAGATAAACATTTTTATCTAAATAACTGTAGACTCCAACATAAAAAGAAAAAATGTAATATGTACTTCTTGATTATCTTCCTAATTCACTAAAATTGAATACTTCAATTTTTTTCTTTTAAACATCAAAATATCATAAAACTAGTTAGGTGTCAGCCATGAGAAAAACCAAATGCTCAAGTTGAGTTGAAACCAGCAGCAGTGGAACAGAGGTGTATTTTTTTTAAACTTCCAAATAAATAATTTCAAAGGCAATTTAAAAGACTGACAGCAGTGTCACACTTGGATAATCCCATCTATGAAACTGCAATTCCACCCCCACTTCAAAGTTTTCTGCAATTATCCTCTCACAATGAAAATGCTTCTCTGCTCCCGAGATGAATTGGTTTAATCAACTCTGAGGCTACTTAACTTCCTTATTCAAAAATACTACGTATCACATCAGCTTTTATGTATATTAAGACACAAGAATAACAAAAGCAAAGTGACTCGAAGTACTTGGAGGCATAAATCTTTTACAGCTTAAAAAAAACAACAGCTTTAGCCGTATTATAAACAAACTGATTCAATCAATTTATTTTAGAATGCTTAACTATTAGATACTTTATATTCATAGGTCTTTCTCTCTCTTTAAAAACCTATAATCAATCTACTTGCAATTTCCCTAAGGGTTATAATATTCAAGAAGTTTATATACTTTTAGTTTACAATTTTTTTCCCTTTCTGAATCAAAATGCTCTTTACTTATCAAGAATTCTAAAACTTTTCTTTCACATACCATTCTGAAGAAAGGTTGTTCAAAGACAAAGTTTTTTCCTTAATATACTAATACATGTCCCCTAGATCTAGAAAATGTATATCTTGAAGAATAAGAAGGGCCTCTGTAGCACTCTCTATACTAGAGAAGTAAGTTATTTTAAAAGTTTGTATTGTGGAATACAAGCATTTCTGTAATATTTTAGTTATTAGTATTACATTACAAAATTGTATTTGTAAGACATCATCACCAAGTAAAACAGTAAACTGAGCTGGCAAGTACTTTCCTTATTTTAGAACTTTTGTTTTTTTTCTTGAAAACTAAACTATTAGAAAACCAATGTGAGACTTTTAGAACTGGGAGAGAATTTAGAGACCATCAAGGCCAATATCCTGTTTTCATGGATAAGAAAATGGATGTTAAGAAAAAGAATGTTCAAAAAAGGTGGAGAGAAAGAGCTAATGGCAGAGATCAGGATTAGAACTGGTTCTTCTGATCCTATGTTCACTCATTTTTCCACTATTTCGTAGTTGTGAGGAAGTAATGTCCACAGATTTGTTGAAGCAGAATGGATTATCCCAACATGAAGCTTGATTTACAAATATAAAGCCCTTAAAGATGTGAATTTACAATAATTGGTACTAAAAATAAAGATGATGGTGCTAGTCATTACAGCAATACAATCAATTAGAAAACAGTGGAATCTATTAAACCCAACAATTATCACATGATTGACATGAAGGCTGACATGTCACAGCTAAAAATTCAAACATTTAAAAAGAAGTTTCAATAAATACCTCATTGTGCTTTTAATTACTGTGGAATTATTTGAACCCTGACATTATTAGTCAATAAACTGTCAAGAATTAATAGTTCTAAAGCTTTAATGAAAAATAGACAATACTACCACAATATGCAAAAAATAGCCAACTTCTCTAATCCTTATGAGACAACTCCACTTAGGTTTTCTCTCAACACTTCAAACATATCTCTCCTCTTGTTTCCCTTTCTTTGCCCCTGGTCCAGGTTACAACATAAGCACTGACCTAGTTGCTCAGTTAGAAACTGCTCTGTGCCTGGCCCTCTAACCACACATTCTCACTCACCCAGTCTTTCACATATCCCAGTTCCAACTGCCCTGCTTCAAAAGCCTTTATCAACTCTCCCCTAGTCCTTAAACCAACCTCCTAAATGTCCTCCCTCCATAAAGATTCTTATCAAACTGTTATCTTGTTAAATAAATGATACGAATCTACCCTGGTTGAAGAATTAGGAGCGCTCCTTGAAGTCTACAGGATGAAATCTAAGCTCCTTAGCCTTCTACCCTGACAGCTGCACCCACTGGCCCCACACCCACACACTAAGATTGAGACACACCACACTTCTCTTTCCAAGCACACACACACTTCCACATTCTACAGAGACCATTCTCTCTGGTGTGCCTTTAACACATCCTCCTTTCTGGTCTCCTAGTTGTGAAACCTCAGAGGATCTGTCAACCAGAAGTGGCCATCCACATTCTGTGCTTGTTGCATTTATAATACTATACTGAGATGGCAGACTTATGTGTCCATCTTCCCCATTCACTTATGTGCTCCCAGAGGGTGAACATCAAGTCCCAGTTAAGAAAGTAAGGCTCTGGAGTTTGCTTGTCACTCTACCTCTTACCAGTGGGTAGCCCTGAATGAATTACTAACTCTCTTTAGCCTCAGAAGCTGAAGAGATCACTTAATAAGTATAAAGGCTTAATGCTTATGTACCTGGCATGTAGTAAGTGCTTAATAGACGTTACCTATGACAATGAAACAGGAGGCACACAACAAGCACTTGCGAGTTTTGACAGTTGCATGGTATAGGTTGTATCCTAATTTCCATCCACGTTCATTTCATAAACAATTTACAATGGAAAAATGTTTATCTTAAGATAAGCAATGTTTCAGTAAACCTAAAGGAGTTTCAGTATTCACTAGCAAAAACCATCACTACTTCTAGAAAGGTATTCTCTGCTTTTAGTCATCCAATTAAGGATACTAATTGTGCAGACTTTTCAAATTTAAGCAACATACTCAGCATTCTATTAGTATTCTTTTTGGAAAAGATGCTTCACTTGAAAAATTCTGATGTGGGTTTGTATACAACTTTTCCCCAAACACTGAAAGCTCATTCTATAGAAAATTGCCCTGGCTGGTGTGGCTCAGTTGGTTGGAGCATTGTCCTGTACACTGAAAGGTCCAGGGTTCGATTCCTAGTTATGGCACACACCCAGGTTGTGGGTTTGATACCTGGTCAGGTGTATACAGGGGGCAACCAATCGATATTTCTTTCACATAAATGTTTCTCTCTCTCTCTAACCCCTCTCTCTTTCACACTCTCTCAAATCAATAAAAACACACCTCGGGTCAGGATTAAAAAAATAATAACATATACAAAATTCACTTTTCCATGCTGTTGGTGAAACAATTTAGAAAGAAAACCATTAAAAAACAACAAAATAACAAAAAAGGATTATTGTCTGTTACATGCCGGGCACATTTGAAAATTCTCCTGTAATCCTGATAACAAACCTCTTATGTCAGCAGTATTATCATCCCCGTTTTACAGATGGGCAAATACTGCAGCTTACAGGGTAGTTACTTGTTCCAGACAGTGAGGAGGGTTACTGGAACAAACTCAATCTCAGACTCCTGGGCTCAATGGCTCTACTAGACTGACTCTCCGCCACCCACAATTGGACAAAACAAGTTTGTGGCAATGGAATATGCTCAAAACTTAAAGAGTCAGGTCTGAAACTAAAAAATGTACTATTCTAGGAATGAAAATACATCCTTACATAAAAACGGGATACGGTTTTTCCTCCTACAGTGAGGGCTGCCATTTTCCCATCATTGTTTTCCTTTGGAGTATATCGTAGGACATGACAGTCTTGTACCTAAAAACACAAACATAAAAAAAAAAAAAAGCTAAGTCCGTGCCAAGATACATTTCAACATTACACACCAGTCACTAAAGTTACTTATTTCATTATTCCTCTAACGTCAATCACAATCTTAAAATACAGATAACCTTTGAAAAAAGTGTCAAATACAACACCCTTAAAAAAGTGCATAAAACACAAATATATAATAAAATAAGTATTTTTAAAGAAAATATGCACATAACTGTTATAGGATTCCAGGGCAGCAGGAAGAGGGAAACTGAGACAGGAAAGTTAAAACAAGGCCAAACAGTGTGGGCAAATTGCAGCCAGCTTGTAACTAACAAACCATTATTTTCCCCAGCCAAGAACAAAGAGCAAATGATTAAACCAAATCAAAACAAAACAAAAAACACCTCCCTAATGAGAGAATGCAGAAAGGAAAAAATGGCAGTTTTACTCTCTAACAGAGAAGCCAGCAGTCTCAAGGCTTGGCAAGATAAAAGTTGCCAAAAGCCTTTCATAAATTCTGGGAAGGACACAATAAAGTAAAAAAAGGGCCCTTGAGAATTAATCTATACCAAAATAGTCAGCAGAGGAATTTTGAAGCCTACAGACAGTAGGTATATAAAGCTTTGGATCCCCACCCAATTTGTTCTTCAGATTAGCTGAGAGCTCATTTGCACTAAGCCAGATGTAGAGGTTTGCTTGTTTGCTTTGCTTTTTCAATAACGGCACATGCTTTAATAAATTGGCTTTTCACAAAGGAGTCAAGGTGTCTCGTATAAATTCATTTATATAGGAAACAAGGATCGAGGTTGGGGACAGCCCTCTCCCACTGGCTCAGGGGGCTGTCCCGTAACACCTCTCTGGTGTTGGTGAGAGGTGCCTTAACATAACCACTACCAATGACAAGAAGCAGAATCCCTAAAACCTGTGTGTCTCTTCCCAATCAACTCCCACCCTTTTTTTCTTTTTCAAACTTCTAGAGCAGTGGCTCTCAACGTGTGGTCCAGACAAGCAGCATCAGCATCCCCTGAGAACCTAGTGGAAATGCAGGCTCAGGCCTCAGCAGAGACCTGCTAAATCAGAACCTCTGTGATTCAGAACAGCGGTCGCCAACCTTTCATACCTCGTGGACCACCAGTTGGTGACCACTGCTCCAAAGGTTTCCTTAAACCAGCGGTCGCCAACCGCCGATTTAAAAGCCCTCCAGGACCTACAGTCCAGGTGATTCTGTCACACTGAGATGCGCTGCCCAAGAAATAACCACTACCCTTGACATTTATGGTAATCCTTTACTGGCTTTTCTTTATAATTACTACCTTTGAAAGTACTACATAATAATGCTGTTGCTTAGTGCTGTCTGCTTTAAACTTTATATAAATGGAATCAGACTGAATGTAGTCTTCCATGTCTTACTTCTTTCACTCAAGATTACATTTGTAGCCGAAGCCGGTTTGGCTCAGTGGATAGAGCGTCAGCCTGCGGACTGAGAGGTCCCGGGTTCGATTCCGGTCGGGGGCATGTGCCTGGGTTTCGGGCACATCCCCGGTGGGGGGTGTGCAGGAGGCAGCTGATTGATGTTTCTCTCTCATCGATGTTTCTAGCTCTCTCTATCTCTCTCCCTTCCTCTCTGTGAAAAATCAATAAAATATATTTAAAAAAAAAAAAAAAGATTACATTTGTAAGGTTCCTCCACGTTGCTGGATGTAGCTCACTGCTATCCAGCATTGCATCATGGAAATACACCATGATTTACCCATTCTACTGCTGATGGACATTTGGGTTATTTCTAGTTTTGGAGTATTAAGAGCAATACTGCTATTAACACTGTTGTACAGTTTTCTTGGTGCATACTTGTTTAAATCTACTAGTAACCCTCACAAATGGAATAGATTACAAGGTTCACTTATCTCAACTTTACTACATAAGGCTAAATTATTTTCTGAAGTGGTCATCCCGATTTACAATCCACCAGTCATTACTGAAAGCTCCCAAAGTTCCTTAGAGTTCTAGAAACTATAATCTTATCCTTGATCATTTAGTCCAGTGGTTCTCAACCTTGGCTGCACATTAGAATCACCTGGGAATCTTTTTAAAATCCTGATTTCTGGGCCTCATCCTCCAGAAATTCTGTTTCTTTGTTATGGGGTGAGGCCACAACATTAGTAACAAAGCAACAGAATTTCCAGAGGATGAGGCCCAGAAATCAGGATTTTAAAAAGATTCCCAGGTGATTCTAATGTGCAGCCACAGTTGAGAACCACTGCCCTAGTTGCACCTGTCGACATGGTTTAGCCCAGTGGTCGGCAAACTCATTAGTCAACAGAGCCAAAACAACAGTACAACGATTGAAATTTCTTTTGAGAGCCAAATTTTTTAAACTTAAACTTTATAGGTAGGTACACTGTTATTAACTTAATTAGGGTTAATGTGCAGCCGAGGTTGAGAACCACTGACTTAGGTGAATGAGCTCTTATTTAATTACCACCTTCTGCCTAATCAGTTGTCTAAGGCTGGGCCCCAAAGATAAACTGAGTTATCCAAGTGATTTGGGGAATGACGGTCTCCTAACTTCCAGTGATCTTTTTATAATAATATAGTGGAGCCTTGTCTTACGAGTGTCCCGACTAACCAGTTTTTTGAGATACCAGCTGTCTCTCAGCCGATTTTCTGCATTGAGTTGGTAGAGTAATTTAGGTTAACGAGCTCCTTAACGAGCTCGGTCTCGGAACGAATTAAACTCGTAAGTCAAGGCCCCACTGTAATGAGAAAGACAACAGCAGCCAACATTTATTGGACATTCAATACTGTTTTACATTTTAAGTGCTTAACATTTATATCTCGTGTAACCCTCACAATAACCTTTTCAGGTAGGTCATAATTATTCATTTACAAAGTGGTATATAATATTTTTTGATGAGACACAGTGCTTCAAAGAACACAGTTAAGAAGTGGCAGAACCAAGACCTGAATTCAGATATTCTGGTTCCAGGGCCCACATTATTAAACAGTAGAGGGGTTTACTTTATTTCAGAGAACAAAACGCTGCTTCCCCTAACAAGTGTTTAACATTCTGAGTTAGCAAAGAGATAAAAATTACTGTGGAACTGAAAGAACTTCATAATGAAAACAAGATGGAACTGAGACTTTTTCTGATTATAAATTAAACTAGATCTGTGAGAAGCGAGGTTACAATCTCATTTTGTTCACTGTCCCAGTTACCCTATGCCATTACTAAGAAGGCCACCACTCAGGCCAGAGTGAGAACATTCACCCAAACCATCAGAAGTACTTTAATAGCATTTATTTATACTAAACATTAACCTATTCTTCACCACACAGTTAAATAGTTCAGGACACAAATGTTGCCCATTTAGGTTGGCACACGTAGATCCTGGCACACATACAGATCTACTGTCACTGCTGTTTCTTACCTGAAGTAATGTGGCCACATGCTTTTGACCATCTTTGGTCCAGAAAGGCATCATGCCCAGCTTCACCGCGACAAGGCCTACTCGAGAGGAACCTGGCAATTCAAAACAAATGAAGGTTAACACAGCTTTTTCAACTTTGCCAATGTGATGCAACAGTATTTCCTAAATCATGGTTTCAAAATAAGGAGCGGGCAAATAAACATGCTAATATATTCACAGAATAAAACACAAATGTTCCTTATAGATGTAAGTGTCTTCAACCATGCCTAACATAAGACATTGGTACTCAATAAATTTCCATATACTGAACAAATACAAGAAACGACACACAAAAAAGAAAACAGTTAAATGGATATATGGTGGGTTTTTTTTAAAGTAAGTTTTTACTGGTTTTAGGGAGAGAGGGAAACATCTATGGGCTGCCTCCAGCATGCCCTCTACTGGGGAACAACCCAAAACCCAGGCATGTGCCCTGACTGGGAATCAAGCTGGCAACTTCCTGGTTCATTGGTCAACACTCAACCACTGAGCACACCGGCTGGGCTAATTCTGGTTTTAAAATTGTGGTATTAATAGAGGGCAGGATAAATCCCTTATTATGCTTTGCTTTCCTAGTATAAATATCAAACCTCAGTAATTAGAAAACATCTAATTCCAAAAAGTTAGCAGGGTTCATAAGGATGACACAGTGGTCACATTGCTAAAATACGTTGGCCTTCCCCGTAACGCTTAGATTTGTTGCATAAATTGATAAAGTTGCTCCACTGTACAATTCAACTGTTCATAATAGACCCACCCAGAGATCACTTTCTCAACAGGAAGGCCTTATTCGTCCTGACCTGTCCACAGGTGGGTTTAGCACGCTGCCAGGCTCACACAGCTGACGCTGGCGTTGCCCGTGGCAAGCCTGGAATGCTGGAGCATCCCAACTGGACACATCTGTGTAACACAACTTAGATCATACTCTTCCAGATTTTTCTCCCCTGATTTATCTTTATAGTCTTTTTTTTTTAAATCTGAAGAAAATGTATGCAGAATGAGTCTCATTTCACATACAAACCAGCTTTTTTTAGTAAGTCTTAATTATTACCAGACATTCACTGACAGCAGAAAAGGATGCTGGTAATAAACACGCAAACCAAGCCACAATGAAACAGACACACCTAAGACATGAACAATAAGTTGAGGAGATGATAAGTCTATCAAGCAGTCACTGTAATTTTGAATGTGCCAGCCACCAAGGAATGAGGAGAACTCATCATATACACAATACCCACCTGGTTCCCAAGGATGTCTAGGCCACGGTTCATCTTTCAGAGGACACAGTTTACTCGCTAACTGGGCTTTATCTTCATCGGAGGCCAACTGCTTCACGAACGAAACGTTTTCTTCAGAAAGGTGCTCATCCCACCAAGTGCTACTCTTGCCATGGAGACTTCTAACTAAAAGCCAGAGGTCTGTTCTGCACAAACAAAAACTGAGAGAACAAACCACAACTCAGAAGTTTCTCCAGTTAACACAGCGAAGGGAGGTCACCCGCATTGGAGAGCGTCACCGGGGCCTTCGGGACGGGCTTGGATTCTGGGCGCCTCTTTCTCCTGACATTCCTGATGGTAACAATGGGGCTCCCGTTGTAACTGTGAAGAGTTACCCTGGAGGAAACGTTCTCCGTCTTCTCTCCTGGGGTAAATAGCTTTCTAACCAAGCGGTCCTGCCTAGACACAGGAGAAGCCATCTGCACGCGAACCTCAGTGTTTCACACCCAGCAGAAGTGGCAGAATACGGGATGCCGACCTTTCTCTGATCAGCTCCTCTCTTCCCTGCAAGGACATGGCCCAGGCTCAGAATCTGAAGAAGCTGGGTGTGTGGAGACATGGCCTCGGGTCGCTGCACACACCAGGAAAGCCCTCAGGGACTGAGTCTGTAAGCAGGCGTGTACGTCCTGCACGGAGTCTCAGAAAAGAAAAGCTCTCTGCAGTCTAGCCTCCTCTTGTAGCCTGATAAGATTATTCAGGTTAGAATCCCAATGTGCACTTATTAATTGAATGGCCAGGGACAAGGTCCTGCTCCTGTTCAAGCCTCCGTTTGACCTGCACAACGGAATGACAGCTTCTGTAAAAGAGGCTGATGGAGCCCACGTGCGGCCTAGGCGCCTCATATACTTAACAGCATCTCGGACACAGAAAACGCCCACTAACTGGCAGATTATACTATTACTGCTGTCGGTAATGCTCGCGGCCAGTCGCTCATACGCATTAAAAACGAACAAAAACCAAAACCACCCCTTGGGTCCTTTCACGGGCTTCCTTGGAGAAACGCTCCTTACTCTTCTATACTTCAGGTCTGGACACAGCCCCTTCCTCTCCCTCCCAGGGCAGAACCCTCTGTGCCCGGCCTTGTCATTGTTCAAAGTCGTAGTTTTGCAGGGATCACCCCCCCCCCCCCCCACACACACACACACACGCCCTGTCTCTCGCCCGCACTCACCTGTCCCCGAAGCGCCCGGCAGCATCCAGGCCCCCGGCGCCGCGGCGCAGCGCCTGGGAGCCGGCCAGAGCCAGCCGCCTCCAGCCAAGCATGGAGGAGCCGGACAGGGCTCGGGTCGCTACACTTTCGGGGGCCCCTCCGCTCTGCTTTCAGGGAGTCCCCAGGCTGCTGTCGCGCGTGCACCGCAATCCTCCCGGAGCCGTCCCGCGCCGGCTGCCTGCCTTTGCCCTCCGGGACGGAAATTGCCGCAGGAGGCCCCTTCCGGTCCGTCCTGAAATACGCTCCGGGCACCAGGGTCAGCCCCTGGAACGAAAGTTCTGCCTCTGGAATAGTCCTACTTTGGATAGGAGTTGGCGTAGGCCAGACACTGATTTTCTCTTCAGGGGGTTGGGGGGAAAGTATGTTCGGAGTTTAAACTTTAGAAGAATGAGGGAGGCGGATTAGGTGCAGGATGCTTAAGAAAGTGAAATCACTTCTAAATAATGCCGGCTTAGTAATTATTGTATTAAGCAGAGCTTGATTTTCTTATACTGGTTTATGTTCAAAACAGGCTAAAACGAAGTTGTTATTTTTATATGATGCATGAAGGAATGCAGACTCGGAATTTGGTGCTGGTCCCAGATAGCACATCGGGCAGGTGGATAGAGCCGGCCCTGAAACAGGGCTGGCATGTGTTAGCAATAGAATATGGCCAAGGTGATGGTGTGTGACTTCCAGGGCTGGGTCATAAAAGGTATTGCTACTTCTGTCTTTGTCCAGTGGATTGTTACCTATGGGGAAAGCCAGCGGTTACGTCCTGCAGACACTCCAGCAGCCCTGTAGAGAGGCCCATGTGACGAGGGACCAACTTTCTAGCCAGGAGTGAGCTACCTAGCAAGTGGATCCTCCAGCCCCAGCAACCCTTCATAGACTGCAACTCATGAAGGAGCTTGAGCCTGAACTACCCAGCCAAGGAACTTAAGGGTACCTGACAGAAGATGCTGCCAAAGGGAATAAGTGATTACTCTTATTTTGTTTGAGTCACTAAGTTGTAGGGTAATTTGTAACAACAATAAGTAGCTAATAGGCCTTCTGTACAAAGTTCTGTCTTTGTTTCCAGACCCAGCCTAATCACCCTGTGTGTGCTGTAGGTATTCATTCCACTCCAAAGTCTGTTTCCAAATTTGTCAAATGGGTATTTGCAGACATTTGGAAATAAGAACTTAAAATTTTAGCTATTTTAACACCCCCCCCCTTTTTTTTTTACAGCTATCTGGCTAGCCTGGCTTAAAAGGTCCAGAATATGGTCAATTCGGGGCTACTACTTGGACTTCAGTAGGCTCAAAACCTTTGCCTTGCTTGCTCTTCCATTTCACCATTGCTGTTGCAGTCACCCCGGGGACTTTTAAATAACACTTTGAAACTTGGAGAAAAAAAAATCATATCTCTTCATTCTAGCCATGCTAACTGGTTTCCCAGTTACATAAAAATTGCCCTTCATTGAACAAACATGTCATGAGGTGTGCTACATGAAAAAGCTGGGGTAAAAAAGTACTTCCCTACTATTGCCAATAGTCAGCATTTCTTATGCATATAGTGCACTATAGTATGTGCTCAGTATTATGGCAGCTCAACACTGAAAGACCACCAGGACCACACCTGAATTCAAACAAGGTTAAGTTTAATTAGCTTGTTGCAGCAAGACGTGCCTACATCTAAAGAAGGGACTTGTTATAAGATTTGGACTTATTCTGGGTGATTTTAAGGTGGGCATACGTGAAGCAGGGACTTGTTTTGAAATAAAGGCTATCAAAAAGCAAGAACAGTTCAGCAATTGGGCATCTCGATAATTGTGTTCTAGAGGAAAGAAGGACAAAATAAGACCGGGGATGATGTTGGTAGGAAAGCAGAAATCACTCAGAAGAAGGAACTGTTCGTCATTTTGTACCAGTGGTGTGGGTTGGGTATGATCTGTTAGAAATAGTATGCTGACATTCCATTATAAATTACCCTGCAGTCTGATTACTAACAGGATTAATGTTTACTCTTGTAGTATACTTTTCCACTAAATAACCCCATGTGATATACTATAATTATCTTAATTTTACAATCGAGAAAATAAGTACAGAGATATTACAAACTTAAATAAGATCATTCTGCTAGTAAGTGGTAGAGCTGAGATTTAAATCTCAGCCATGTGACCAGAGAGCTTGCACTGTTAACCATTTTGTTTCTTGGGCTCTCTATGAAAAATCTGTTACTGTCCTCGCATTAGAATTTCTTTATGGTTAAAGAAGAAAACTGGCAAACATACGACACATAGTGGTCAGTGAGGATGGAGGAGGCAACCATTCAGTCTAACATTTGCCCCTGGTGATAAATCTCCCTTAGTCCATAATGGGGACCTTGAATCAATGAAACCCTCATCAGGCACCACTGCTGAGCTGAATCAAAGCAAAATGTGCATCATCTGTTATACAGCACATGTTTCCTGAATGCCAGATGGGACTGGGAAGTATGATTATAGTCAATTTTGTCACTACAGTGTGCTGCTAATTGACAAAGACCAGGCCCAATTCTTGAGGGACCCAGCCAAGGCTATTTTTATATCCTCAGGTATGACCTCGAGTCTCCCATTATTTCTGATATCATCCTTCAGAGACTGATTTAGACTCTGGGACCCTGATACCACTTTGTCTCTGTGGGACTTCAGTTCCTCATTGGAAGAAAGATAACGTCCATAGTCACTTTTCTAGTACAGCAGGTCCTCAAATAATGTCCTTTCATTCATTTGTTGTAACATTGATGAGATGCTGTAGGAACGTAACTCTTGTTTATATCAGTTAGCTTATGGTAGAATTGGTTTTGTTATATGTCATTTCCCTTAAAATCGCAGAACCTATTGCTGACATTAAGTGAGGGCTTACTGTACTGCAATTCCATGATTCTTGCTTCTCTAATTCAAACCAAAAGGTAATATAATAAATGTTCTTCTTATAAAGTAAAACATTAGGAATAGTTTTATTTTTGAAGGAGTATGTTTCAAACCAAGGGCTTATTGGAAATATTTTTTCTATGTGTTCTTGCCTTTAGGCTCTTCGGTTAGTTTTTGTAATGTTTGTGACATGTTTTGAATGGTTGGTTTACTGCAGAATAATACATTTTTCATTGTTGGTTAATTTGCATTTTATATTCATTTATGCCATCTCTTAGTTCATAACATGCATTATATTTGAAATTAAAAATCATTTTAAAGCGAGTTTAGGCTTTTCATCAAATTATCCTTGGCTTCCTTCCACTTTTCTAAAGATAATTTAGCATATTTTAAAATTGGATGAGGGAATAAATAAAATGAACTTTTAAGAAATTTTGAACTTTGAGACTTAATTGCTGGCTAGTATAGAAAACGTAAAAGGCCACAGATGCTCATTCAGTGAGAAGATGAATTCTGCTTCAATGTCTCCCATCAAGACCAAATTACAATTTTCAACTTCAATATAAGGATTTTAAAAGCACAATATTTGTTTATAAATTTCTAAGTCAGCCCACAGACGTGAGGGCTCCCAGGGAGGATCAGAAAGGAAACACATTTGGTTTGAAGAATGCCTTAAAAAATAAAAGCAGTGTGGCCATGTTGTGATGGGGTTTAGAGTTTCTCGGCATCCGGCCCCTTGTGTTGTATTCAGAATGGTTCTGAAACTTGATATATTTAAACTTATGTGCATTTCTTTAAAGTTCTGTGATGACTGAACAAAAATGTTAGTGACAGACAATGAAGAATCACATGTCAGTGGATCCAATGCTTTCAGCCAAGGACAGCCCCTTCTCCCTGGTCTCCCTTCTGATGCCAGTCTGTTCTGAATGCTGGAATATGACACTAGACCAGTGAATATGCTTGTCACTTGGAACCATGGTCAGGGTGTCCCCTCTGGTCCCAGAATATACACAGTCTTGAGAAATTCCTAGAAACCAATTTGATTTAGGATGCTGATTATACATGGAAGGGGTCCCAGAAGAATAAGGAAAAACTAACACATTGCTCTTGCTAAGTGGCATATTTTAAGTGGTTTACATATATTAACGCATTCACTCCTCAACTATGAAGTAGCCACTATTGTTCTCATCTTTACGTATGGGAAACTGAGGCATAGAGAAGATAAGCCGCTCATCCAAATTCACAAACCTTAAGTGGTGGAGCCAGGAGCTGAGCCCAAGCAGGCGGACTCCGGAGTCCAAGCGCTTCTGTGCTCTATTGTCCTGCCTCTTTTTCCAAGAAAAGGAAGCTGCATAACACAATATTGGAACAATCAGCTTGGCCTCCAGACGTTTCCCCAGGTAAGCCAAGACTGGGTAGTGCTAAGTCTGCATCTTCAGAGATCTAATCGGTTTGGATCAGAATCAGTTGGGCTCAAGAGAGAGCAAGGAGGCCAAACTGCTTAAGATATTCCCTCATTCAATCATGAACGACCTTCTTGTCAATAAAGAAACAGGAGGCTCTGTGATGTCTTATGTCAGAGCCTCTTAAACTTAAATGCACATAAACATTACCTGGGGATTTTAATAAAATGCAGTCTGATTTGGTAGACACAAGGCGAGGCCTGAGAGTTTGCATTTCTAATAAACTGAGGATTCTGTAGGTGCTGCTGGCGAGCAGACCACCCCAAACTTTGGGGCTTAGAAAAACCACTATTTTATTATTTGTATGGCTTCTGTTGGTTAGGAAATCAGAAAGGGCACAGAGGGGATGGTTTGGTTCTGTTTGGGCCTCACCTGGGATGACTCAAAGACCAGGTGATGTCAGCCGGGGGCACTGAAATCATTTGAAGGCTCATTGGCTCTATACCCGGAGGATGATGATACCTACCAGCCAGGACCTCAACTAGACTGTTTGCTGGAGCACCTGGTTGTAGTCTCTCCATGTGGCTGCTTGGGCTTCCCTACAACATGGTGGTTGGGTTCTAAGAACACGCACCTTAAGAGAACCGGGGAAAAGCTAGGTTACCTTTTATGACCTAGCCTCACAAATCACATGGGATTACTTCACTTAAGACACAAGCTGGCCCAGATTCAAGGAGAAGGAACATAAACCTACCTCTCAAGGTGAACATGGCTTAGTCACTTTGAAAGATGAGCACCTGGGATGGTTTCAGCCATCTTTAGACAATGTAGTTTGCCAGAAACACCACGTGTCTGTCCATGTGAAACAATGGAATTGCATCCAGGGAGCTGCTGGGGGTGACCAATTGCTGACCACCATGACAAACCTACCCTGTAA